GGTTCGAGTCCAGCCCGAGCTGAGCAGCCGCTGAGCTGCCAACAGGTAGCGGGATGGCTCAGCTAAAAAAAAAATGGTATGAATAAAAAAGCGATACAAAATACAAGCCCCAATTTTTTATTATTAGATTCAACAGACATAAAATTACTCATCCAAATTGCCATTAAAGTTTTTGGATGCTTACTCTCTTTCTGTACTTATCTCACTACTACATTAGTCCGTGGAGCACACTTTGAGTGGCATTGGTACAGAGAAAATGGTTTTCTCATAGGAGATCCTGCATTCAATTAAGCCAGCAGGCGAAGAAGAGGTTTGTTGAAGGGGATATGTATATAAAGAGGTTTGTTTACCAAGGAATGGGGTTGCTGGTAGTACAGCAGGTAAGTTGGGAAAGTTGATGAGCAGTGGGTGATTGGGGTAGAGAATGCACATAGCTATATGGGATGAAAGTTCAGGAGAGAGATGACCAGAGGGTTTCTTCTTGAGCAGTATTCATGAGTAATGGGTGCGAGTCAGAAATGCTACAAGGTCTGGGGAATGTATTTAAAGAAGGCTTAGGCAGGTGAAAAAATATTAGCTATTAGTTACTGACTACTTCCTGTGTAGCAGAATGTGCTCACTGTGCTAGGGACTTTATATACATTATTTGAGTCCTTGAAAACAAATCCTACCAAGGTGATGGTGATATCCCCAGTTTATGACCTTGGCTGAAACAATTGGAGCTCTGCCCTATTTTTATTCTCCATGCTGTGTGTGGCTGACCAAAATATTTTAGGAGTTTGATCTTAGCCAGAAGTTATTTGGAGGGCTGCTGATGACTTCTTTGGTGAAGAAGGGTTTAATTTTGTGAGCCTTCCACCTCATTATACATGCAAACTCAAATTTTCAAAATTAAATATTTTTTAGACATTACAATGTGAAGTAAGTAACACATGTTCATTGTAGAAAATTAGAAAACACAGATAAGAGAAAAATGATTACCTGTAATCCTTTACTCAGAACCATTGTTGACTATAAAATACTCTTTTAGTCCTTTAAATGTAATGATGTAAAATAGCTCAATAAAGTTTAAATTTTTGATTATATGTTGAAATGATAATATTTTGGATATATTGGTTAAATAAAATATTATTAAAATTAATTTCACCTGTTTCTTTTTACCTTTTTATTGTGGCTACTAGAACATTTTTTTAAGGTTTTTTTTTTAATTGGGGAGTTGGGGGATGGGAACAGCACTGGGGAATTGGGG